GACCAAATTTGTTCGTAAGTCATTACCGATAAAAGTACCTTTACCCATGCGCTTTCTGCTCCGGTAGAGGTTTAAAAAAGATATCAAACAAATTTCATCATGGAACATTAACAACAATATTTTTTATTGAACTTTACAGGTAACGCGTTGAAAAGAATCCTTTTCCTTTCTTCTTCAAGTTTAAATCCACATGCATTCTTGCCATCCATAACAAAAGAAAGGAGAGGAAACAGTTTCAATGCCTAATGTCTCATAACAAACCTGAACCACTATTTTTTATGTAACGACATTTTTAAGCTTTTTAAAAATATAGCAAATACCGTGACAGCCCCTTTGAAGAGAGTAACCCGAATACAATTTGATTTTTTCGTTTTTTTCTGATAACTGAACCTATTTTTCGTGGATTCTCCAGGCCTTTCTTAGTCGAGAAGACTGCAACCCCGACATAACTGGGAAAGCATCTCAGACACCACTTCACATCGCAGCTAAGATGGATAAAGTTTCTATCTGCAAAGTTCTGGTGAGTGGCAAATTAGGTATTGTAGGTTTACTGTACAAGTACGTTCCGAAGATGTCAAAAGCTTCGTGTAGCCTGAGAAAACAGGTATCCCACATTTCGCAACGTCACCACTGGTTCCCCTGAAGTGACGTCTGAAGGAAGAACGCAAACATGCATATTGGTGACGTGTTACTTGTCTCTAACCAGATATGGGTAGTGCTTCTTACTGGTCATTCCGCGAAGGAAATTTGCCTCAGCAAATCAGACGCATTACCCATATTTGGGCAGTGACACGTCCGTCAGATGGAATTTCTTCACTCGTTCCTTAACACGTGGTGGCGTTGCGTAATGTCGGCTGCTTTCTCAGGACGGTTAGCTAGCGGAAAGTCGTCTAGGTATTCAAAAAAAATGCAAGCAAGCATACAAAGCTAATCTCCCCATCGCGCTTTTTCCCGCGAATACAATGCATAGAAAATGAAACAATTTCTGACTTTTGCTGTGAAAATGCTTGCCGAGAGTCTCTTTATTTTAAATCACTTAGAAGCATAAATAAAATGGTTTCCACCTCCTGTATTTACAAGATACTAAAATTCACGCATAGATTCAGTTTTGAATAGCGCTGTTCCTCAGTTGTCTGAGATACTTTCCCTTGGGAGTGATCAAATCGACAGAGTTCTCCAAGCTAAAAGAGGAGAGATAAAATTTTCTTGTCTCCCCTCTTACTTCCTATTTATTTGGCTCTTGCTACAACCATCCCGCAAGTCTCAAACATATGTCTTTATTTAGATCGATCACGGTGCTTCTCCAGACTGTCGTGATGACGAAGAAATGACACCGCTGACACGAGCCGTGGAACAAGGAGCCTGCATTGCTGCGGAGTTTTTATTTGAGGACGGTAAGCAGCTCAGTAAAAGAAAACGTTACGTGATTAACCAAGCATTCTTCAGTCCGTAAATAAGAATTAACTATTGTGATGACAATTTTTGGCTTTTCCACAGTCATTTACGTGGAACAAAAGCGCTCGCTTTCAAATGGCTGGCTAATGTTTAATTCAGCCTGCATTGAAAGTGAAAAAAATCCTTTTCAGCCCCAAAGTGCCAGTGCAGCCATACAGGTTGAAATCTGATTCAGCCTCTCCTGGATCCATTTGAGCTTGATTTAAATTCCCATCAAAAGCCTATTTCAGACCATGCTGGGATTCATCTCAGCCTGTGGGTGGGTAACTGGGCTGTAGAGACCCTGATTAAGGGGGCCAAATTAGACCCCAAAACAAGACTGTTTCTGGCCGAAATAGTCCCGTTTTAAGGGATAAAACAGATCGTTCTTGTTTACAATATAGCATTATCTGAAGATCTACATGACAGTGTGTAGCCTCGGGGTACACAGACCTTTTCATCATTTATTGTCAGACACCAACGCTGCCAAATCCCAGTTCGAGAGACAATTGTGAAATGATTCCTGATATAAGATTATGAGGGTTATCTTTAAACAAATTTTCCTTCTATAACATTACTTCAAAGGTTGGTAGTCGGGATTTTACTATTTTATTTGTTGTATTGATATATCTCACATATTGGGAAAGATTTGCATTAAAATCTTAAAGGTGATTACGGTACTTATTTACTTATATTTGCTTTGTTCAAAGCTAAAACAAGGGAGAAAGAAATGGTGAAGGAAGTGCTTACTAATGTTGACTCTGACGGCAGTACTTTGCTCCACTTAGCAGTCGACAGTGAAAGTTGTGCGGTGAGTATTTTTTTTACTAAGCAATTTTCTTTTAACTGCGATTCCTCCTTGCGTTTAAGGTTGATCGTTTGACCCTTCTACTTCGCTTCGTTTCAGGTGGTGAAACTTTGTCTTAAAAATGGATCTATCATTCGACAGCCAAAGGTAATTGGCAAAGAGTGACTAAACAAGTCTTAGCACAGTAATTCATTGATACGTTTAACTTTGATAATATGCCCCTTTTAGTAATTCGCTGCTTAGCCTATTGTGAATAATAAACAGAAAAAAATAATAATAAAAAAAGACTGAAAAGAAGTAAAAGGAGCGCCGGCGAGAGAGTAGGAAAACCCATGATCCCATCTTCGTACTGCGCTTTGTTCGTAGGGGGACATGCACTGCGTAGTTTAGGGGGACACTATTTTCACGTCTCCCCGGAATCAGCTTGTCTTAGAATGGTTAAAGAGGAATCTGCCAAAATAAGTTGGTGTTTTTAGAAGATGTTTTCTTAGTACAAGTTTGTTAAATGGAATGAGTTCTGTTTAATCATTGATTCAGGATCATGACAGGAGCACTGCATTTCACTTGGCATGTGCTGTGGGAGCCCTGGAGATAGTTAAGCTGTTTGCATCTAAGGATCCAAAAATTTGTCGAATAACCCTTATCGATGCACAAGGTTGGACTCCATTACACCTAGCAGCTCTCAACAATCACCCATATGTCTTAAAGTACCTTTTGGAACAGGTTAGTTCATGAACACAGAGTGATAATGATGTTGATGATACAATGATAATGATGATGATGATGATGGTTATGGTGATAATGATGATCATGAGCATGATGATGATGACGAGGACGATGGTGGTGGTGATGGTGATGATGATGGTGATTGTGATGATGATGATGATGACGAGGACGATGGTGGTGGTGGTGGTGATGATGAAGATGATGAAGATGATGATGATGATGATGATGATGATGATGATGATGATGATGATGATAATGATGATGATGATGATGATGATGATGATAAAATGGAGAAGGCAGAGGAACAAGATGGCGATGAACTATGGTGATATTTGCGGGTAGAGCTCCAGATGAACAAGCGAACTTTGGAAAAGTTGATTAAAGAATACAGAGAAATCTAAATTTTTGGTTATGCTCTCGTGAAGCTAATATCTATCATCTAACATGATTTTTAGGGCGCCTTGGTAGATCCACGTGACAAACTACGTCGCACCCCTCTCTTCTTAGCATCTGAAAATGGTGGAACGGAGGCTGCCAAGGTTTTGATTGACAATGGTGCTAACGTAACTGCCAAAGACGTTGATCTCCGGTCCTGTGTCAGAGTAGCTGTGGGACATACTGCCACAATGGCAGTGTTATTAACGGTAACGTAATGAAAAGAATAATTATCAGTAACGGGAAACGTAACAAATATTAAGAAAATGACAACACCAGAGTAGGAAGAACATGTAAATTACGCCTAAGATTAGATTGAGGGTCTCTCCAGAATTTTCATTAACAGTACAGTCGTAGAAGATGCGACAAAATTAGTAATTCAAGAAAATAAAACAAATATACTCACTGTTGTGAAGAAAATTTCGGACAGTGAAAAAGATCTGGTGTTTGGATATGATAAAAAACAACCCTTCCTGCCTTTTATATCTCACTTTCATTCACCATCACATTTCCTGCGACATATTTCCATTAAATTTCCATTAATGCATTCAACTGTATTTCTTCTCGTTGTTAAAATTTGATATGCGATGTTAAACACGCCGTATTAAACCCCTTTCTTTACCTATCATTGTCTTCCTTCTTCGGTTTAATTCAAGAAAAGACAACAAATAAACTCACTGTTGTGAAGAAAATTCGGACAATGAAAAAGACGTGGTGTTTGGGTATGATGTATAACGACCCTTTTTGCCCTTGATATCTTATTTCACATTTACCGTCATATTTCTACATATGGAGATATTTCCATTTCATTTCTACCATTGCTTTTAATTGTATAATAACTTCTTGCTGTGAAATCTTGATATGGGATGTTTAAAAATACGCCGTATGAAATCCCTTTCTTCACTTATTCCTGTCCTCCTTCTTTGGTTTGAAAAATTTCTTGTCACATAGTCTGTATGAAAGACCACTTCCTTTGTCTTAAATATTATTTTGCATTTAATATCGATGGTGACGAATTACTTCTTTATTTTGGCGCGAAATTTCAGCGTTGATTTATTATTTCACTTGTGAATTTTCAAAATTGCCATGGCAACGTTCCGTGGTTGGCAGTGACAAGATGGCTGCAAAGTTTTAAAATGTTGTGAATGAAGACGTCAGGGCATTAAAAGGCGCTTTGGAAAACCTAAACACACGAAAGAGAATATCGAAGAAGGATTCTATCAGGTATTGTTCCGAAAAATTCTGAAATTCTTAACTTAAGCCAAAATTCAAACTCTAAAGTGTTCATTGCGTGATAAACAACGTCAAAAACCTATGATTGCAAACGTGATTTGCCACCCATGATATTAATAGGTAATCACATGGCCTACTCGCAAAAATTAGGGAACAATTTCACTTGCGTTTTGTCCAAATCCTTATGTTACGATTAGGACAAAACGCAAGTGAAATTATTCCTTAATTTCCCTCGTCACCATTTGATTACACTTACTTTCCACTAGAGATATACACAACCCATTTGACCGTTATCACGTTTAAGTCTAAAGGCAAACGAGAATTTTAAGACAGGAATCCGGAAACGGGATCATGGTGACGGAAACGGAAAGGGTGAACGGATTCTGGGAAAGAGGGATCCAAAATAAGTCTGGTAATAATAGTAATAATAATAATAATAATAATAATAATAATAATATAATAATAATAATAATAATAATAATAATAATAATAATAATAATAATAAGCACAAGGAAGGGCAATATCCAAAGCAGGTGCTTGAACATGAAAGATCTAAAGCCAAAAATTCAATATCCAAGAATGCTACTAAATTCAAAAGGGAAGTAACAATGCCAGAGATTGAGAACAGAGTAGATAAATCTGCCTCTTAAAATGCTAAAGCCCTGAAACACGTGTTTAAGTCCAGGATGAAGTCAATGAAAAAAGAAAAGTGGAAAAACAAAGCATTGCATGGCCAGTATCCAAAGATCCTAGAGAAGCCTCATGTAGACACAGTCACTACCAAGAAATGGTTGTCAAGTAATTTGAAAGGAGAAACAGAGGGACTACTTGTCGCAGCTCAAGACCAGGCAATAAACACCAGAAACTACCAGAAAGTAATATGTGGCCAGCAAGTGGAGAGCAAATGCAGATTGTGTTCGCAACATGAAGAGACAGTGGACCATATTATATCTGGATGTGAGGTATTAGCCAAAACAGAGTACATCTCCAGGCACAATAATGCTGCAGCATATCTCCATTGGAGCATATGTAAAGATCATGATATAGAGATTGCAGACAAATGGTACGAACACGAACCAGACACCATGATACACAATAAAGATAACAACATCACCATCATGTGGGACATGCCAGTCAATACTGATAGAACTATAACAGCGAACAGACCAGATATCATCGTTAAAGATTCAGTGAATTCCACCTGCAAACTTATTGATATGACTGTTCCATCAGATAGAAACATCGCACTAAAGGAAACTGAAAAAAAATGCAAGTACAAAGACCTAGAACTAGAAATACAGAGAATGTGGCATATGAAAACCGTAGTGATCCCTGTGGTTGTTGGTGCGCTTGGTACAGTGAAGAAGGGTATGGTAGAAAACATCAAGAAAGTATCAGAGAGAGCTAGTATGACAGAGATTCAAAAGATCTGCATGCTGGGATCTGCACGAATCCTTAGAAAGGTGCTCAGTGTATGAACAGAATGATTGACTTGAGTGACTGACGCTCTAGGTGCATGGTTTGCGCCCGGCTGATGCGCAAAAAGAACACCAGCAAAGACTGTGATAATAGAGACAATAATAATAATAATAATGATAATAATAATAATAATAATAATAATAATAATAATTTGCGCCCGAGTGATGCACAAAAAGAACACCAGCAAAGACTGTGATAATAGAGACAATAATAATAATAATAATAATAATAATAATAATAATAAATTATAATAATAGTAATAATAATAAATAACGAGATAAAACAACGACATGAGACTTTAAATTTTCCTGGTCAGAGGAGACTGCTTTACTGATGATTAGAGGACTGGAGTTGATTTCAGTGAAAATGCACATCCCCATGTGACAGTAAAGATGATAAAGATGGCTGAGAGTCCTGAGACATGAAAAAAATATATATTTATTTAGTAAATCCGTCGGACAAATTTCATTCAAACCTTGGACAAAGCGCGCGAAAAGACTTACGTTAGTAATGTCATGCATTCGCGTTATAAGAAGGCGTTCACAGTTTTGTATTCTTCGAGTTGAATAATAAATATATCTCATCGGAGGGTTTAGTGTGTTGTATCGTGTATTTTATTCACTCTTCGGGCTTGCCAAAAAACAGCGTCACTAGTAAAAATAGGATACTGCACCCTTAACCCTCCATCCATAAAGGTGACATAATCAAGAATATATTTAAGGGAAGCGCAAGGACAAACTATAACAAAATCTTTTTGGATTCTTAAATTATGGGTTTTGAACTTCTAAATTTTCCTATTACTGATTCCGTTTCCGTTTCCGTTTCTGGATTCCGGACACCATATCATGTTCTAGTGCTGCCAAATTTGTACCATGTGACCAATTTTCCCCTTTACTTGTCGTTCACTGTTCAATATTTTAACACATAAATTAGTAGTTTCACGCGATTTTTTATCCATAAGAATTGAGCTGTTTTTATCTGCTCATTTTCTATTTTGGGAAATTCAAAACTTGAACCTGACGTTTGCCGTATATGTGATGCTTGAACTCTCTAATTACTTTTTTTTTTCCTAGAAACGGGAAGCTATACCACTAATAACTGACAAGGATATCACGGGGTTTGCACCAGTCCACTATGCTGCAAAATACGGCAATCTTCAGGTAAGAATCTGAGCCAGAGCCTTTGTTATCTTCAATGGCCAATCAACGGTGAAGATATCGATTTACGTCACCCATTGATCCTAATGTGCCAATAAGGGGCCTATAGGCTGCTATAATACATATTTTTGTTTTTTCTTGATGGCCTGCACCTTAATGAACCTTAAATGATAAATAAGGTGGGTACTACACGTCGAACTTTACCATCCGACGAACCAGCTTGCCATTTGGGTTTACCTTATTGAGTTAAGTTCGACTGCTGTGTAAAACTTCTAACTCAATTGCAACTTAGCGCAGGTCAAAATAGGTTAAACCAAATATATGGCGCGAAACAGTTGACATTCGTAACTTGAGAACCATTCTTTGATTCATCTGAGTATTTGCACAAGCTTTTCTTATTTCCCATAGAACATCTTACTGTTTATGAAGAGAAATAAGGCCGCTACTATTGTGACGTCAGATGCACTGGACACAGCTCTTCACGGCGCCGCCAGGTATTCTCTCCCCATAATACACTATGTCCCACATACTTTTCCCTAAACTTTGCATAAACTCGTGGTTTAAAACGCTCTTGGAGGGATTGTATATTCCCGTGGGTATTTGAAAACAATATACAAAATTTGGGGAGTTAACAGCGTGTATTACGGGTGATACGAAAAGAATCAATCAGTCATTTTGAAGACCGACCTAATTAGGGAGTAGAGGTTAAGTCTATTTGCATGGCTATAGAGTGAGTAAACAATGTCAACGTAACGTACGCAAACACAGATCAAGAAAGGATGTATTTTAATTGATGAAACGTAGCAATTTCAGTATACACACGAAAAAGAGATGAACAACATCATTTTTGTATTCAACTAGGTCTGGAATATTTTGTGCAGATGTTCAATGCAACACTTTCCAAATTTTTATTTGATGATTAATATTTTTTTAGATATGGTTGGCTAGAAATAGTTGATGCTTTATTATCCGGCCGGAATGTTCGTTCAATCAATGTGAAAAACAATCAAGGAAAGACAGCTTTGCATTTCGCATGCGCTGAAGGACATGACCAAGTTGTTGAACTCCTACTCAAGCTTGGTGCGACTGTGCAAAGGTGACCTTCTATTTAGTATCTGTTGATGGTAGTTCTAAGTTATAACTTAGATATAAACCTATAACCTATTAGCTCAGTTGGTAGAGCGCTTGACTAAAGAGCGGGAGGTCGCGGGTTCGATTCCCGAGGCCAGACCAACACTCAGGGTCTTAAAATAACTGATAAATGAAGGTACTACCCTTGCACTGCAAGGGGCTAGACCTTGACGTGACTCCGATGACCAAGTAAAATGGCGGTCCCCTCTCCAGGAGCCGTAAAAATAGTGTCCCCAATTAGTATAAATAAATCGTGCTAAATACATTAATATTCAGATAAAGTGCATTTTTTAACGTCTTCTTATCCATTTTACGCTTTCATTGTTGTTGGAGCTCACGCCACATTTCATTTGCAAGCGGGTATTCTTTCGTCCTTTACTTTGTATCCTTCCTGAGATCATCCTGAGTGGCAGGAATTTAGCCTGCATCTATACTGTAACTACAAAGGGGAGAAGCTGTTAAATCACTGAAAAATATTATTAATTAGGGGACCCAAGCAAGTTATTTTTACTTCAGTATGGCATGAAAACCGTCTGTCAAACAAAATTTCCTTGGAATTCTTAGTGCATGCGTAACGCGATATTCAATAATAATAAATGATACCTGAATGGAATAATTCAAATGGTCCAGAAGGAAAATTGTTGGAACTCATATTAAAGCAAGGTGCGCTAAAGGACTACAAACAAACCTCTTGTTTTAGCGATGGGTTTGGATGAATTTTGCTCGTATAATGGCTTATTCTGGCTGCCAGCAATTCTTGTAAAAATTCTCCTCGAGTTCTGCTCAGTATCTAAAATGTTTTCGGTCCTTTTGTCCACTAGCATTTTCACAAAAACGAAAGGAAGCCCGGACTCCTAAATACTAATTAGAATATAATTACGTTAATCACAAAATCTCTCGGTTTGTTATTTTTGTTGTTGTTTTTTTTTTGCAATTTTGTTACAAATATTACGTGATTGAATAGTGATGCTTTTTCTCTGATTTTGCTCTCAAATTATACTCGAAAATGCCTTACTATGCCGGGAAAGTGCTAGCTCATTCTGCTAGGTATTCAGTGCCAGATGCAGTAAAATTTATCCAAGCCTACACCTTGCGAAGTTATATATAGGATTCCTGGTTTAAACATACCAGTCATTTGTGTTGTAACTTCAGTGATCATAGCGACAGAACAGCCCTTCACGTTGCTGCTATGAGAGGATCTACGCAATGTGTCAAGTATCTGTTGCAGTATCAACCTCAATGTATTAACCACTTGGACAAACATCAGGTGAGTGATGTCCGAATATTTTTCTAACTAAACAACAACAACAACAACAACAACAACAACAAGGACATGTGATCGACTCCACCTAAAAGCCAAACCTAAAAGCGGAGCTCCTGCTAAATACGAACCATTATTTGTTTGAAACAATAAATTTTTTGCCATTGCAATCGAAATTTATTCATCTGAAATACACACAAAACGAACTTCAAAACACGATCCAAAGTATAATTAACAACTTCTATAAATATCAAAATTATATGTACCCTTTATTTTCCTGCATGAGCCAATGTTTCGGCCCTTTTAGAGATTTAATAACCGGAGGTATCTTTTGACAGCTGCAACTGACTTATTGTGGCTAGCATATTTACCTGTAGTTTGCTACACAGCCGTTTTTAGTGTCGTCACGCAACGAGGAGCGTTGCGTGACGACACTAAAAACGGCTGTGTAGCAGACTATAGTCACTTGGGAGCTTCATCGAATTGTTAATTATGTCTCTTGCATAAAACTTCAGCGAGATCACGGGTGACTAACTGAACCGATGGTTATCTCAACATATTTGAACATAAATTGACGAAGGAACTTTTTTTCATTTAGAACACTGCATTACATTTGGCTGCTATTCACGGTCATCCGGATATAATATCCTGTTTATTGGCTTGTAAAGAACAAGAGATCCTCCAGAACAATAAAAATCAAAATGCGTTGGACGCAGCCATGGAGGCCGAAAGGAAAACTTCCTTACTCGCGATTGCAAGTCATGAAAGGTGAGCAAGCATTCTTTTTCATTATTAGATAATTGAAAATCTAATTAAAAATAAAAGGCATCATCAAATTATGTTCTTGTTTTTATTCAAATTTAGTAAGTTTCAATTTAAGATACCTTGTGGAGGAACAGTTACTTGTGGTAAAAAGCTACAACTCGCATTTAAAACGGAAAATAATTTTCGTTTAAGAAAATTGAGACTATAAACGTTCATACGTTTCCTTGGTCCATTGAGTGTTTTAAAAACAGTGGAATAAGAAGGGAAGAGAGCCTGGGAGGTGTAGAGAGTGGGCCATCTTTTACACTTGCATCGACTGCTCTCTCTAGCCACGCAAGTATCTGTTGTATAGACTACGAGCCAAACAGCTTTCCTACTTCATACACTGGTAGTAAGATTTTACACTCTTTTTTTCTGCAGATGGAGAGAGTTGCTAATGTCATCGGCCCCAGGTCACCTGTCACAGATGCAAGTTCTAGTCGTCAAATTTCCTGAAGTTGCAACGGTAAGAAAAGTGGTCATCCTCACTGGATTTAATGTAGGCTAAATTTAATAACATGATGATAATAATAAATATAATAAAAATAGTAATAAATATAATAAAAATAATAATAATAATGGTAACAATAATAATAATAATCAGGGCTCCTTTTTACGAGTATTTAAAGCTACTTAAAGCTACACGGAAAGGAAAGAAGTCGAAAGAAGGATTTGTGGTCGCATCTGGGAATCGAACTGGGGACGTTCCGCACAGAAGGCCGCGAACTAACTAACTGCGCTAATTCTCCTTCCTAAGGGTTGATTTCCAGTGTCGCGTATTTTTTACTTGCGGACGTGCGTAAAATTTACGTTTGCAAACAAATAAAAGGCAATGCATGAAAGGTCGCTCGTAAGCGTAAAAGTTGAACCTCGCTCAACTTCTCGTTGAAGCTCAGTACTTTCTATCTTGCGTCTCTTTTATTTACGTGATTAAAATTTACGTGCGTCAACCTGCATAGCCAAAACGCGATAGTGGAAATCAATCTTTTAGGAGGGAAAATCATTGTTTGTGCATAATTTTTTTTTACAGAAGTCAATGAATTAGGTGTTGACAGTAGTTAGATTACGAAGAAATAAATGAAATAAATACGTCTTGTATTCAATTTTAAGAGGGGTCGAAGTCACGTCAGTTTGCATCGGGCCAAAAATAAAATTAGTTTCGAAGGCCCGTTCCATTATGATAATATTTTCAATAAATACGTCTTTGCTTAAGCGTACTTGAACTAATAATTTATAGCTCATGCAACACTTTTCTCCCCTGTAGCGTTTTTTGGACCAGTGCATACTCAATGAAGGGAACCCCGATGGCGAAGATTACACAGTAAGGGTTTATTTGTAACCTCAAAAGCTTAGTCATTAGCCCGGATATAATGCTTGCTTCGTTTCATTGCTTACTAAAAATAAAGATTAATTGAGGAATATAATACTTTAGACGTGATCCCGACAATTAAGATCTCCTCCGTACAGATTATCCACTCAAGATCGAATCTAAGACAACACTTCGTGGATGACCAAAGTAATGTTCTTAGTTATTCTTTTACTTCCTTGCTACGGAGTCAGTATCAGTAAATTATTGTAAAGTAACCGAGCCTTTAACTCTGCCGCTCTCAAGTCCTCATAAATCTTAACTTTTCTCTTCGTTTTGTTTTCTTTGTTTGGTTTTCTTTTTGTGTAGGTTAATGTTTTTGTTTTTGTTTTGTTCTTTCTTTTTTTTTGTTCAGGTAACCTACGATTTGTCCCTCATTCAAGGAAAGCCGAAACGAGGCCAAGACTATCTGATGGTGCTAAAGGTAACTTTCTTTTTTACCTTCTTTTTTAAACTTAATAATTATAATGCGTTCATTTTGCAATCAGACTTGACATTTTCTGATGTTTTCAATAATCACCTGTTTATGGCGAAGCTGTTACCAAACACCAAAAACACCAACTTTCTCTACAGACCATGTTGAAACATCAAAGAATCAGCGGTTTGTCTCATCCAATTTGCTTCATTGCTATGAGTACCAAATGGTAAGATACACATATATTATTGCCATTGTTTGAACATTATTATTGTTATTATTATTATCATTATTATTATGTCGCAGTATGAAACTTTGGAATGCTGTCCACATTATGAGTAGTATAGGGCGCATAGCGTAACCTACACCACTTAAGAAGCTATACTTAGAAGTAAAAAAGGTCGATACGAAACCTAATGCGATCCTAAAATACATAGTGATATGAATCTCTCTACGTAAAAAGCCAATTTAGAATATTATTAAATTCTGATACTCTGTAAAACATACGCTAAGACATGATGATATGATTATCTCTAATAGAGGCCTGTTTAGAAAATTATTCAGTTCTTACACTCTCATTATCTCTTATACACCTAAACTAGGCCATCATAATGTGAATATCTCTACTAAAATCTCATTTATAATAAAATCAAACTCTAATGTTCTAAAAAATCTAANGTGGATGACCAAAGTAATGTTCTTAGTTATTCTTTTACTTCCTTGCTACGGAGTCAGTATCAGTAAATTATTGTAAAGTAACCGAGCCTTTAACTCTGCCGCTCTCAAGTCCTCATAAATCTTAACTTTTCTCTTCGTTTTGTTTTCTTTGTTTGGTTTTCTTTTTGTGTAGGTTAATGTTTTTGTTTTTGTTTTGTTCTTTCTTTTTTTTTGTTCAGGTAACCTACGATTTGTCCCTCATTCAAGGAAAGCCGAAACGAGGCCAAGACTATCTGATGGTGCTAAAGGTAACTTTCTTTTTTACCTTCTTTTTTAAACTTAATAATTATAATGCGTTCATTTTGCAATCAGACTTGACATTTTCTGATGTTTTCAATAATCACCTGTTTATGGCGAAGCTGTTACCAAACACCAAAAACACCAACTTTCTCTACAGACCATGTTGAAACATCAAAGAATCAGCGGTTTGTCTCATCCAATTTGCTTCATTGCTATGAGTACCAAATGGTAAGATACACATATATTATTGCCATTGTTTGAACATTATTATTGTTATTATTATTATCATTATTATTATGTCGCAGTATGAAACTTTGGAATGCTGTCCACATTATGAGTAGTATAGGGCGCATAGCGTAACCTACACCACTTAAGAAGCTATACTTAGAAGTAAAAAAGGTCGATACGAAACCTAATGCGATCCTAAAATACATAGTGATATGAATCTCTCTACGTAAAAAGCCAATTTAGAATATTATTAAATTCTGATACTCTGTAAAACATACGCTAAGACATGATGATATGATTATCTCTAATAGAGGCCTGTTTAGAAAATTATTCAGTTCTTACACTCTCATTATCTCTTATACACCTAAACTAGGCCATCATAATGTGAATATCTCTACTAAAATCTCATTTATAATAAAATCAAACTCTAATGTTCTAAAAAATCTAAGTAAAAACATCAGCAAGCTTGTGTTTCTAGATTTCTAGAGAAAAAATAAAAACCTAAAAACTGGAGTCCTTAGCGCCCTAACTAAGTATTTATTTTAAATGTTCTGGCAATGTTTAAAGTGTTTGAGATGACCGACTCCTGCATCCGCTCAAGTACGCTCCGTGCTCTCGCTCTAAGTAGCTTCCTCACCGACTTCTCTAGGTGTTTAGAGTAACCACCCAGTACGTCAATTATTACGTTGTACTGTTCAACCCTGTAACCATTGTATCTCTGCTTCAGCTCCCACATCATGGGCCCATACTTGAGTGTCTTTTCCTCATCTTTCTTAGCTCTACTCTCAATCCATGGGCAGCTCATTTCAATTGTGCAGACTTCTTTCCTCTCGTGGCTGACAAGTCGCGCGTCGATCCGGTTTGCTCTATCTTCGTTGTGCTTTGCATAGATGGGAATATCCCAAAACGCCTCACTCGTGGTGTTCTGGTAGGCTGGTTTTGGCATCACCGGTGAGCACCATGGTGGAACCTTTTCTATTAACCCATGCTCTCGCAGGAGCTCAAAAAACCGAATCTTCAAAGCTGCATTATGCCTGTATAGGTACTTGGTTTGTGCCAGGGAGGAACATCCAGCCAATACATGTGCAACGCTCTCAGCTACCTTCCCACATAACCTGCATAGGACTTCGCAATCGGTGGAGGTTTGCGTCTTCTCCTTTGTGTAGAGCTTCGTAGGTAACAACTGCTCATACAATTCATACATGCCCGCGATGGTATATGTAGGGCATGTGGCCCAGCCTTTTAACCATGCAAAGCAGCTGGTTATGCTTACGCTCTCATCTTCCCATCTGATACGGAATAACTTTCCTTGCCACTTTTTGTCTTTAGCGATCTCCAAGAACTGCTTCTCTGGAGATTGCTTCAACAGATTCCCAGCTCTTGCTGCAGTTACCACCTTTCCTTCTGTTGTAACACACACGGGATTTAGGGTATCAAGCTGAAGTGTGATGTTGAGTTCTTCAGCGTACTTAGCTGCTTCCTTTACGAGCGACTGGTGGCCTGATGCCATGGCGTGTTCTTCAAATTCTCTAACTGCTNTCATCTTCCCATCTGATACGGAATAACTTTCCTTGCCACTTTTTGTCTTTAGCGATCTCCAAGAACTGCTTCTCTGGAGATTGCTTCAACAGATTCCCAGCTCTTGCTGCAGTTACCACCTTTCCTTCTGTTGTAACACACACGGGATTTAGGGTATCAAGCTGAAGTGTGATGTTGAGTTCTTCAGCGTACTTAGCTGCTTCCTTTACGAGCGACTGGTGGCCTGATGCCATGGCGTGTTCTTCAAATTCTCTAACTGCTCCCACAGTCTGGTCCGAGTTCTGATACAATTTCAGTAGCGATTTGATTTTAGTGATCTTGTACTCGTGTTCGACTCAGCGCAGGCCTCTACCACTTTTCTCCCTCGTTAGATATAACAAAGAAGTCAGGCTAGCTGGGTGCTTGCCACCGTTCTCAACTATTATTATTATTATTATTATTATTATTATTATTATTATTATTATTATTATTATTATTAACATCATCATTATTATTATTGTTAGTAGTAGTAGTAGTAGTAGTAGTAATACTACAAATAATAATACCACTAATAATTAATAAATTTAAACGATATATTAATAAAAAAGATACATGTAAAGTGCTCTGTTGCTGTTATTTATCTAATTAAATTTCTTTCACGGCAAGCTTTTCATCTGTCCTTTCAGTTCGTTGCTTTTAGTTGAGGAGGATAAATTCTCTTACTTGCCACCCACATACAACGGGAGTTTAAGCTAAAACCAGCTGTTTGAAACAGGAGTCTTTCGTTAGCATGTTTTACCTCCCTACCTCTTTCAGGAAATTTTTTGGATGGAAAACCATAACCATCAACATGATTTTGTATCTCCTATTTGTGATTCCGCTGACTGTTCTTGCCGTCATGGAGCGCGCTAATGAAAAACGTTTGTGCAACATAAATGAATCTTGGACAAGAAAGGTAATTTTAGATATTAGGTGTCGTTATCTGTCTCAATGTCAGTCCGGGAGATGACAAGTGCGTGATTTAATTTACTAAGAATTGTTCTATGCAATTCCCTGTTTTATAAAGAAACAATTATGTTATGTATTATGGGTTTGGAAAACTAGTCAATTATTGCGTTCGACGAAGGAGAACGCATACTAATCCAGTCCCGCAGGTTATCCCGATATCTCGTTCGGAATGCCATGCGATTTCACGGTTTGGATTCCATCTTAGACTGGCTGGCGCATTTGGCCTCGATCTCATGTGATCATACTCTCTGCCAAGGGGATGGCTCTGTTTAAAATTATTTGAGAGATTAAAGCTTATTTTCCCTATGCAGTTACTTGAGAGGCGAAAGTTTGTCATTCACTAAAATTACTTGAGAGGTGAAAGCTTATATTTGTCCCATCAGTGAAGTAAAATGTTTGACCTGTTGTTTATATTCAATTTAATGTATATTTAAATGTCACTTGAGAGGAAACACTTATTTGCTGTCGATGTCCATTTCACTGGTATCTTAGAACTTGCAGATAAGATAATATTTCACTTTAAGCTGATAATTATTATAAAAATTTTCGAACGTACTCACTAATCTAAGATCACTTCTACTCTAAAAGTCTAAAGTTAACGGTGGAATGGCAAAATGGTGGTTTGAAACAATTTTTTACTGAAATGCTTATTCTATGGAAGTGTTAACAGAAGGTGGTGTTCAAAGCTGTGAATAAATTGGCACCAACTTGTTTTATCGTTACTTACAGGACTATATTAACTTGGACGTCCCGTGCAGACAATCTGACAAGGTATTACATTGCGAATACATCTCGACCTACATCATTTCCAATACTCACCACTTATAATTGTGGAAAGTGCGATTCCCTTAAGTAGATCAAGTGGTGTGAGTTGTAAAAGAATGTTTACAGTTATTGATTTTTGTTTTGTTGTTTTTCATTTTATGCGGAAGGCGCTGATTAGAACAACTATAAGAGTGGAGCGAAGCAAAACAACTTTGAACACAAATTTATTTTTTAATAACCCAGCATGAACTGATAATTTTCAAAGGACTTTCATTGTCTTGTAACCTGTGACTGGCATGTCCATGTTTAGTTAAGTGAAAGAATAGGCATATAACAATTTTCATCTTGGTTTTCTTATTTGGACTGTTTCATTCTTTTCAATTACAGGTGACCCAGTTTCTTCAGTATTTCGTAGCTATAATCACGATGGTTCACGCAATGAAGAAACTTTTTCAGTTGAAAATGCAGGTTGGTACACTAATAAGGCGACATTATTGCCTGATGTTGGCAAATGAAGCGGCATGTAGCAGCTCTCCTAACCGTAAAAGCCAATTGGTTCGATACCCTTACCGTGAAACAATAAGAAATAATGATAAACAATGATGTGTTATTGTTTTCTGCGACCAATAAGGAAACACCTTACTAGCAGCTCCTACATTACTGAATGGAGCGGCACCAAAGCAACAGTTACTAAAAACAAACATTGCAATTTAAAAAACAAAAGTATCTGTAAATATATCAAGACGATGAGTCTCCGATCCACGGAATTGTTTTCAGGAAAGTCTATGAGGTGGTAAGGATGATAAAAACTTAGAAATATTTTGAATAAATATGACAAAAAAAACACAATTATCGAATCAGTCTTTCGTGTGGTATGAATAATTCAGTAAATCTCGTGGGGATCCACCGAGGCCGTTGATACTCTCCCAGTGATCTGCTTAATCCTTCGTACACTCAGCTTCATTCAATAAATGTTCACCATCACTTTTATTTTCCAACGCCATCTGCAGGAAATTAGTCTCCCTCGCAACCGTTTTTGTCTCGTCACTCAGCGCTCGTCGAGCAGTGTTTCGTGACGAGACAAAAAGGGCTCTGTGGGAGACTAGCATGAAACGACGTGCTAACTTTCCTCACAACCTTTCCTTTTTATATGTTCACCGGTTTCAGAAAAAAAGATATCTCGTCTTCTTTTCTCACTACCTGGAATGGATTGCCTACGTGTCTGCCCTTGCTTACATTTTCCCGGCGTGTGATTGTAAACTAGGATACAAGCAGGAAGTGGGTGCAATCGCTTTGTTCTTTGGTTGG